TAAAGAGATAAAAGTAAAAATGCCAGCATCCAACAATTTGTAACACTGCACAATAACCCTTTACCTTAAAGAATAAGGAATATAGGATATAGGAAACTGACTGCAGGCTGCACTGCACTTCTCCCTAAGGATAAAAATCAGAATACAGCATAGAATTAGGAAATCAGCAACTTTTTGGTATAAAACCAAAAAAACCTACAGTAAACTCATCAGCTCCAAACACATAGGAGGTGACCTTCAAGAGAATGTACACGCATTAGGGAAAAAATAGATACAAATGCATGATTTATAAAGGAATCCAAATTACAAGTTTCTGTGCATAAGATGGGAAGACATTTATTAAAATTGGGAGAACACATCTACTCTGGCTGCAGCTGAACTAAATTAATACTTGGCTGCCCCCTCAAATCTCTTGGAATACATGCACGCCTGGTTACTCCTTCAAATGGTTCTGTAAAACCAGCACACAACAGCTGTAGTTATAAACTTCTGCTACTCTGCAATGCCATTATCACCTAAAAAAGCTTTCCTTTTAAGATTAAAAGAAGTGTTGATACACCCTATCAAATTTCTAGAAGTCATCTGTGCCTTCATCTACACTTCAGAAACAAACTTTCCTAAAACTGACAAACAATTTTCAGACTACTGTTCCTCCAAACAGGTACGTTGATGAAATTATTTTTTTTCCCCCCTATTTCTACACTGTGGAAAAAAGAACAACTTGCCAGTTGCCAGTACTTATGCAGCTGTGAGAAAAAGAAGGCAGTCACTCTCACAGGTTTTAAACAGAACTAATTTCCAAGCTGGAAAGCACATTCCTTTCGTCATCTAACTTGAAAAATTACACCCCCCCATGCAACTTCTTGAAGCCAAAGTCAGAAATGTAGCACTCCACCTGCCCTTGAACAATCTTCAAATCACTGCTTAAAATTGAAATTATGAATATTAAAAGTCTTATGAACAAAAGAAAAATCTATAGTAAACCTGACTCTAATCACTGTGCTTAGAAATTACTTACTGAACACCAGGATCATTTATAACATACACTTCAGGCAGAAGGAACTTCTCTAGAAAAACATTTTATATCAAGTCCCATATGAGCAATAGCTGACATGAAATAGCACTTATATTCTTCTCTGCTCATCTTCCTTCTCATCAATAAATTATTTTAGAATAGGTGTTATTTTGAGACCAACACACCAATTTTTTCCAGATGCCATCACAACACCGGAAACAAATTGTACCGCCAAGTCACGTAGTCAGCACAGTTTACAGAACAATTACCTTGCAGAATTTGGATCATGGTTACTGAAGGAGATCAGGAATTCCTGCTCTCACTTCCACCATTAAAATGGTCTGCAACAGATCTGCTATAGGAAAGCTTATGAGTTGAAGCAACGTGGGTGATTCAGAAAACCACGGTACAAAGGCCTGATTCAAAATTAAAAGTTGGTGACTGCAGGTTATGCTCATCAAAAAAGAACATTTGTAACTTTCATGCCAGTTATCAATATATCACTAGAAAATGTTTTACTACCCAGTAATAGCACAAATAAGAGGTGAAAAGTCATAACAGAGCTTCTGATACTGAACAAGCCTTTTGTCACTGACATGCAGCAAGGGAGAAGAGCCGAGGTTGGTCTGGGAACATCAAGTCTGACTGTCTTTGTATTCTTACAATGGATATTTCAAGACTGTGTAACTCACTACATCAGCCCCTGAAACTTCAGCCCAACCTGGAAGGAAAGGTACTTCCCTAACCCATACCCCTAAGAGCGTCCAGAAATTCCTCCCACTGCCTAATCTATTTCTTCTACAGACATGAAAATGACTTCAGCCTCTACAGCTGGAAGGACAGCATCTCTGATATGTACCTTTCTCAAACTCGTGGTTTAATAATGTTTCTTGTGGCATCTTACAGGTGGAAAGCTGCAAGATCCAACCAAAAAAAAAACAAATGAAAACTTGGTCTGTAAAGACTGTGTTGAACAACACTGAAAGCTCCCGTGTCTCAATACATGCTTCCTCAGAAAAACACCACAAAACTTAAAAAAGCCACCCAAGCAGGGTTTTTTTTAAAAAATAAAATTATTACATTTTTCTCCCACACTGCAAAGCTTTCAGATAAGGTGGAGAGGGGAGGGAAATTACATGATCTTACCCAGAGGAAGCATTGAGCACAGTACCTCAGAAAAAAAAAAACCAGAAAAATATTACACAAGTCAGCTGGCTCAGCAAGGATTAAGAAATACCTTGATAAACAGCTAATGATATGAAAGGCAAAGGTTTTGGCTCCAGCTCAGAAAAGTAATTACTCCCATCTGGGCACACAAAACCCCAAGAAGGGCTACAGTTTCACATGACACAGGAAAATTTCACAGCCTTACAGTCTTTATTTTATAGCTACAACGGGTGAGTGTACACCAAGTAATATTAGGCCAATGGCTAGAAGTATACAAAACTATAAACAACATTCTCCCAGGGCACAGGTTACCTGTTCTTCCCATCAATGTATTAACCTGATAGAAACCAAACAAACTTTTTTAAGTGGTTGTGCTGGCACAAAATCCCACTGCTACAGATGGGCCTTCACAGAGCATTCCATTTCTTTTTATCACCCATACCTACACCTGACTATACAGTCAACCACAACAGAGCTTTATAAGGGGAAAAGCTTACACTTTTCCCCATTGTCACAAATATAGTTGAGTCTCCTTCCATAGCACAAAGCTTGAGTCAAGAAAGGTTTGCTTTCACTGGTATAACTTTATTCTGCTATTTTTCCTGCTTAACTGCTTGTTTTATGTGGGTGGGGTAGTGTTTTTATTGTTCTGGACTGCATTTTAGTTGATGGCAGAGTGCCTGGAGTTTGGGACTGGCATCTCTTACATTGTTTTTGTTGAAATAAATGTATTTCCCCCCCTCTTCTTAAAAAAATTAAATACATGCCATGCTCTAAACTGCTAAAAACAAAGAAACAACAAAAAACCAAAACCACCACAAATCAAACAAAAGCTTTCAGATGGCACAGCCAATCTACCAAACTCCTGTCACAGGGAATCCATCACCCAAAAGCCTCATCCCTGCTCACGCTACCCTCTGAAAAACCCTCAAAGACCAGGAAGCAGAGATATTACAGTGGAGGCCAGGAGTACTGTTCAGTGGCTAAATGTTTGTGTTTGTGTAATTCTGAGGAGACTGAAGATCAGATTTTGGCCTCAACCTCAAGCTTCAACAACTGAAAGGATAGGAGCCTGCTAAATGGGTGGGATACGTTCTCAAGAGAAAATAAGGCAGATTAATAACAGCTTGAAAAAGAGTTATTAAAGAGTTTGTTTCAGTGGAGACTGAAGCAAATGCAACAAGTGAGAGAGGGGCGGGGGTGGTCTATCCCAGTAGACATGGCTATTTAAATACACTGATCAAAACCCACAACACCCCTAACAAATAAAAAAACAAATCTACAGGTATAGCTTTATACCAGTGAAAAACTCCAAAATCTGAAGGTTTTGATCACAAGCAATGGGAAAGCAGCACCTGTATCAATACTTAAAACCAACACTAATCAGCTAGCATCTAAAGCATCCCCAGAGCACTTCCAACAGAAATAGGCTGTTAGTGGTGCTGCCAAAATAACTTTTTTTAAAAACTGTATAGAAATATTTGCACTCTGTTTCCTGACCTAGTAATTAGAAAATTGCCCTGCTACAATCTGACAGACATTAAAAAAGGTCCTAGTTTTTGCTCAGCTACTGATTCAACACCTACTATAATAGTAGCTGGTGCTGCTATCACTCTGATGTTCTGCGATTCCAGGGGAGAAAAAAAGAGGGGAAAAAAAAAAAAAGAACCACACACAGGCACACACCCGCACTCCCCAAAAAAAAAAAAAGGCAAGCTGGAATTATTTAAGGAGAAGTAAAGTGTCAGCACCAAGCTAAATTGTTCTCATTATCCAAAGAATTTACAAAATATTTTAGTATTACACTTGCATGAAAATTGTATGAGCTTTTCATGCCAGGCAGTGTTTCAGCATGCTCCCCAAGAGCACACAAACAAAAAACACATGAAACTGTTGTCTCCCAACTGATTAAAGTATTTCTTCCTGGCACAGAAAAGCACTTAGTTAACTGCTGTGAGTCTAGGCCAACAGAATTATTCCACCCACTACCAAGCACAAAGTTCAAACCTGAAGACATATACGCTTCAAAAACGTGTAGCTTCTGAAATACAAGAAAGAGTGCGTCTGAGCAGCTTGTTTTCAACCCTGAGCTATTTGGTGAGTTTAAAGAACAGATAAAGAGTTGGATGAGTCTAACTAGACTGTGTCTTTCTTGGGCATGTTTGGAAAAAGTGGAATGTGTTAAAATAATTCTTTCCAAAACACTGTAGCAGCAATAAAGCCACATAAGCCTAACACACAGAGAACTGGGGAAAGAAAAGCCTGTATATCATGTTCAGTATGTCTCAGTGTCTTTCTGTTGCAGTACTCATGTCTGTGACAAAGCCCCTCAGTTCCAGACACCACAGTCATCCAGAGGAATTCAGTCTGAAATGCCCAAATCTGCAGGCACACACAAGTAGTACAGTTCAATACACTATATAAGATGAAGGGCCCCTGTGCCTTTTAACAGTTTTAAAGTGATGGTAACTACTACTGGCCAAATTCCAAATGTCACAACTCACTAAAATCTAGCAGTTTGTTCCATGGTTGGTGTGAAATCCAATATAAAAGCCAATTTTTCATATTTTTTTTTTTTAAACACACAGCTAAATCATTTGTACACAAGGCTTGATGTCTTATCAGAAGAGTTTCCAGTGTTTTGTGCCTTGATACTAAAAACACAGGGAAAACAGGCTGAAAGCTACTAGCTCCCTTCCTAAGTAGTCTCAGAAAAACCCAGGCACTTGCATCACAGCTGAAGAGCAGGCAGACTGATAAACAGTTATTACACTGAGAAGGTATCCTGTATGCATTTTTCTCTCCAGACAAAGCCCACCTGTTTACTTTTCGTGGCCTTTCCAGCAGGATTCTTGCTTCCTTTAGCACCCTCCGCGTTTCTTAACACATCGATGAAATCCTTCTTTGAAACAGATGACAGCAGTTTAGCACGCTGCCTCTCAGAGCTCCCAGCTTTCTTCACCTTCTCATCAACCTTCTTCTGGTGTGTCCTGACAGCATTAAATAATTGTACAACACCTCTGGGATGGGGAGAAAACAACAAAACAATTTTTTTAACTCGAGTTCCCTTTACAGAAATGAACCTCCTACCAAAATAACTAATCAGTGCAGATGCTGGATAACTTCTAACTCCCCAAAAGAGTTACTTAGAACCTCAATTCAGGTAAGAAGGAACATTTACTATAACACAAGAGACTTCCAGTTTTCCTTTTTCCTTCACATGTATTGCAAGGAACAAGTAACAAACAAACCCACAAACAATTCAAAAAATTCAAGTCCTCAAAGTAAGCACGGTAACATGGCACTGAGATCAGTGCAAGACTATGTTCCACCCATAGTTAGCATGTTAAATCATCCTACAATCAGCTATTAAATTCCTCAGGCAAGATCAGAAGAGGAGCTGAAACAGAGGACAAGGCAGAGGAATGAGTAAGGAGACAGATACAGACAGCACATCAAGGTGTTCAACTAGTTCTGCAACACTGAACTACCACAACGCAGACTGAACTTAAATGTGGATCTGGTGAATCCTCAGTGGAGGAGGAGGAAAAAAAAAAAAGAGTAGTAGAAACAACTGTTCTGCATTTTTAAAGCATTAAATTAACGAGGGGGTCTAACAAAGCACTTCTGTTAAACAAATATTACATTCCCACCTAAATTTTTACTCTCTCATAAAGCTCCTGAAATCTTTTGTTGAACTTGATACTGTACAATGCAGAGCTGTATATAAATCACTAGGCTCCTGCTAGTCACTTCTTACGACTTCTATCTGATTGGAAACAGATTACCTGAGCAAGCCTTTTCTTCCCCTTTCCCTCCTTTTTTTGATATATATATATATA